GACTATATTTAATAGCTGCATAAAAACCCCTTAGTTTCTGAATTCAGCATCTCTCTTGACAGCTGAGCACTGAGACTGTAAGTTATGATTTGAGATGATGATGTGGGTGCAGGGTAAAGAGGGTGTCACTGAACTTTCAAAACTAAGCTCCATCCCACTCCTGCAGTAGAGGCGGCTGTGTGCTGCTTCAGTCCCAAACCGTTGTGCTTATAAAGTGCATGCTATCGAAATACTTCAAGTGTGTGCACAGGCCATGTAACAGCCTTGGGATGGGAAAAGATTAGGAAAAGACTGCACCGCACAGCTCTAGGAGACCTGGAGTAATGCAAAGGAAATGCCTGTAGAATATTGAAAGGATAAATCTGAGAAATAGTCCATGAGGTAGGGTTTTTAATAAGGACAATAAAGGAGACTTTGTTCACCTCAAAGCACATCTGTTTTATTGTGGTTTGCCTTTTGAGTTCTTTTAATCTGATTGCCAAGCGATACTGCTGCTTTTTTATTTCAAATCACTGACCATCTTGCCTGTAATCCGTTTACGTGTGATGCCACTACCTGCAGTTTGTCGTCTGACGTGTCATTCCTCATGGCAGCGTTAGGCTTCAGACACACCATCATGACAAATCAGTCAAACAGGAAGTTTCAAAAAGAGAATGCCACATCTTGACATGTGACAGAGAATTGGAAGGAACAGGAGATTTGCAAGGCTGAGACCCATCTGTAATTCCACAATAGAGGTATTTCTCTTGTTCTTCACAGTTTAAGCAGTTTATATGACATATGGATGATACATATATGAGCTGACTAAAGGTCAAACTCCTCTTTTGGCTACATTGGTGAAAACGCAGTGGATATTGACAGTTCTTGGACCTGCACTCATGTAAGCTAAAAGGAGGATTTGGCCAAAGAATTTATCAGATACGCTCTGCCCCACAGAATAGTCACAAGCAAATGCTAAAACGTCCTGAGTTTTGTCACAGATGGAAGGTCTTACAAGCTCTTAAGGATCATCTGATGCAGGAGACAGAAGAGCCCTGGCAGAACGATGCTTTTTTAATGCCTGAAATATGTGCATCTCGTACCAGCAGTCAGCAGCACAAAGCTTTCCGGCTGAAGCTGCTGTAGTGTAAGAACTCATTAAGTAAACTCATTTTTTAGCTATCGTTAAGATTGATTTCGGGTACCATGATCATCCTTTTTTCTCCTGTAACAAACGCAGCCTTTCTATGCTGTGTGAAAACAGAACAGCAAAGCAGGTTTTCCTGTGGAACTTTAATGACATGAAATCTCAGCTTCAGTCAATTTGATGAGGATAGAATGTGAAACTGCCTCCCGGGTGCAAGACAATTATGCAGATGAAAAAACCCTTTGCAGGAAAATTTGCAAGAGTATGGAAAACACCATGAATCTGTCTATCTGTAAAGAAGGGTCTGTTTCAGGCTTCTGTTACCCATTTGGTTAAATATTCAGATGGATACTTTTGTTTCTGGCTCTTTAATAAGAACAAAGCAATATAATCTGCAATATTTTTTCACATAGTGTCTTTTCCCATGGATTTAAAAGGTGTTACCGCAGTCCATTCTCCCAGAGTAAAGATGAGCATTCTGTTTTTATGTGATTCAGATTTTTGAATGCCCAACTCAAAGGACTTCAGAGTTTCAAAGGTGTTGGGAATTGGTGTTTTCAGATGCAATTAATAGGATCTGCCAGGGTGTAATGCCTGTAGAAACTGGGCCTAGGAGGTCTCAGAATGTCTGCTCAACACAGGTGTCCTTCTGCAGCATGAATGCTTCAGTGAGTCATTCCAGCTCAAAGAGCGGATTAGAAAGTGGGCAAGGCAGAAACCGGATCAACTGACTCCTGGTGTCTGGTTGAGTGATGAGATTATACCGCTCCATGGAAAGCCAACCACCAGAGGAGTGACCTATTTTACCAGCGTAGGTCACTTCCATTAGCTCAGTAGTTATTGTTCTGTTGTTTTAATTAGTGCCATTTCAAATAAGTGGCCGGCTCTGTGGAAAGGTCAGTACCTTTCTGAACTCTTCCTCTATAAAAATTACGTCGCTAGGGAAACGACACCGGAAAAGTAATCAATTCTTGTTAGACCTCCAGATACGACATGTGGTTGCTTAGCTGCTGGCCAGGCACATCTCGGTTGAGAAAATGACTCACTCCATCAGTGTAACTCAGAGCAAACATTGTTCAGCCCTGGCCTAGCCGCATATGACAAGTACAAACATGTTTTGAAACAATACCAGCTGTTAAAGACATTAATTCTGAAGGGGAAAAAAGGGCAATAAATCCTGTTTGAGAAGAATTGGGATTCTCTGGTAACATTCTCTCTATGATATCTCTGTAGGTACACCAGATGATCCCCATAAACATGAACAGTTTTGCAAAGTTAACTCCTCTCTGTCATGCAGAAAATACAGCTACTTATGAAATCTTGAGATCCGTGTTGATGTGCCATTCCTAGCATGGAATGGCAAAATAGCTTCAATATTTCTCCTGTAAAATGTCATCCTTATTAAAAGGCTTGTCGTGTAAACTTGTCTCTATCTTTGCTGATGAAATAAAGCGTTGAAAGTGGAATATAGTTGTTGCCAAACTCAGTCTTGCTTTCGTGGTCAACATTGCCGTATTATGCTTCATATACAGATGTAGTTGTTCAATGCATATGGCTGGAAAACTGCATATTATCATGTTATTGTACTTGACAAAGGAGTAATAAATATTGTTTATTACTCGTATATTGAACGCAAATTAAATTGTTAGCCAAATTGAAAGACTTAGAGAAACTGTAGAATTCCTGATGGGATTTGTAGAACTAACTGCATAATGGAGGAATATAAATCCTGTTGCCTTCAGTAGCACATGCTGGATGTGGGCATGTGTGCAACTTTTAAACACTACAGTCTATCAACATAACAAAAATATCTGGAAATATTATCAGTATGCAAACATTTAAATCTAAAGATGTCTAAGTGGGTTATAAATCTGTCTCATGGTGGAGGCTTTTAGTTTTCTGCTAGTACGAGCTTACTGCAGCAGTGCCTAAACGCAGACACTTTTAAGACAGGACATGAAAGGCACTTATGAATTGATGCACTTACATGTGTGTGGCATTTTAAACATTTTAAACTTTAAGGCTAATGTGATAGATTTTGCTGGATCAAGGCCTAAAATCAGCAACGTTTTTGCATTTGCATGAATTAGTGAAGAATAATCGATTCACTAGAATTTACAAAGGGTTTTTGAGTGAATGTGTTTACATGGTGAACACCAGCTTAATACTCTATTTTCATTAAGATGTCTTTAAGGAAGCACAAAGTTCTTAGCTGTATAATCTTAGCCTAAAAACTGTGCCTCTTGCAGTGGAAAAATCCTTCTATTCCTGCCGGAATACTAGTATGGTACTGATTCAGGATAAAAAATAGTATCTTAAGCTCAGCTGAAAGGAATGTTTAAGGTCTTTTCAATAAGCTTTGGATCAAGTGATTAGTGAGGCATCAATACCACCACTATAATTCTGGCTGTTTTTTTCTCTTTATCAGTATGTCTGATCCAGCTTGTAACCCAGCCCAGACCTGTTTAGTTTAGGGCACATGGCAAGGTCAGAAATCACATTAAAAAGATATGTACCAAATGAAAATAGTTTTCACCAAAAAAACCCTAATGTGATGTAGAATCGAGAGAGTGCAATCAGGCAGGGTGCCCACAAAAACTGCTTACGTTTTCATTTTACGAAATAAAATATAGAGGACTCAGGCAGACAGGATTATGTGTTTTCTCATCAGAATCGCTTATGGTGATCTGCCGTGAAGAGAAATGTGCTTGCTAAAAAACTAATCTTTAGGTTTCAGTGCTGAATGTCTTTCTGATAGAAAAAGATGCTCCTGGTTGATGGATAAAATGTTGACCTTACACAGAAGATATGACCTAAAATATTTACTAGGCCTATAGTATCTGTTCTGCCACAGTTACCACATCTCATACTGAATATTTTAGCTGTTTGTATGAAGGGAATATTGACAATTCAAAACCAAGTCTCTCAAAAATACCTCACCAACTAGTTGACATCTGTCAAATTTTGGATCCGTGTTTAACTGAACCATTAAAAAAAGCTGATAAAGGGAAAGAAACCATGTCCATAATATGACTGTGAAAAATGGCAGATGTTATGATGATCTGTATTTGTGAGTATCTATTAAGTGTTGTATCAAAAGGACATTTTTTTTTCCCAAATAAGCATACAATATTTGTATCTGAAATATCCCTCTTGATGAAAAGGTGCTTTGACTTTCAAATTAGATTAGCCCTGAAGTTTGTGTAGAAAACCATTTTCTAGACTCCTAGAGCTGTATACATGGCCACGGCCATCTACTGGGTTTTCAGGTAAATGCTTGACTTCAGCAACTTTAAAAAATATTTGGTTTTATCATTTCAATTTACATATTTGTTTCATCTAAATATAATTCAAAACCATTTATTAGACTTCTTTTCTAATGAAACGATGTAAAATCCAGACAGATAAGCAATTTGGGATAGTATTTTCCCACCAGGATGAAACATGTTTTTGTTTTGTATAACAAAAAGTCTTGTATACTTTGTGAAGTTAAGCAAACCCGTTCGTTGCTTTCATCAGAATAAATTGCTGCAGATACTGTTATCTTTATTTTGTGACTTATGTGACTTAAATAATTAGAATATATATGCACATGTTTAGTGTCTTTATGAATATTAGCTCTATTTGGTACAACTATTATCATGATTTAGTTGTTCATTTTTTTTAATAAGATTGATCAAAGTTCTATATAGATACTTGTTTATTCTTTTAGTCTTGGCTCTGCATTAATTCTTCAGAGACAAGGATGAAGATTTTTTTCTTTTAGATTTCTGCTTACCATTCAAACTGGTGTTGTGGAGAATGTAGTATAGATTCTGCATCATATTTGTTGAAGAATAACTGGGGTTTGGTTTTGTTTTGCCTTGATTTCTAGAAAACTTAGATACAATGATAGCTGAGCAGACAAAGAAGAAGCTTGAGAACCCTTCCACTAAAACCAGAAAAAAGCTACCAGCAGGTACTTATTCTACCATTTTCTCTCCTGGAATAACACATTTTTTAACATATTCAGTTAAAAGCATGCTGATTGCTTGAGAAGCCAGACTGCTAGTTAAAGATGCAGTCTCTCAAGGACCTGTAGCCACAGCTTGGATATCTAAACACACAACAAGAGAAGAATTTTTACTTAATTGTCCAGTCTTTGAGAAGTATAGTCTCTGTCTTTTTCTTCAGTGGAGTCCAGACTTTATACATATACTAAAGCAAGCTATATCAATGCTTTTTAAGGCTTAAATAATAAAAAATAATTATTTGTCAACTTTGGATCTAGTGAACACAAATTTCCTATCATTTTTCTCTTCACAAAAGAACGTGCCTTTATGGAATACATATTATGGCATTTTAGTCACCTGTATT